GGGGCAGGAGTTAGGGGGCAGGAGAGAGCTCAGGGTTGGGGTGTGGGGTCTAGGAGGGAGCTAGGGTCATGGAGGGGCTGGGGCAGGAGATTGGGGTGCAGGGCACTTATCTGGGGCAGCTCCCCTTTGGGGTGCAGGGCACTTATCTGGGGGAAATATCTGTCTCATGTTACCCATGCTCACTGACAGGCAGCCCCTCCGCAGCTCCCACAGAGATGCCTTCTCCCCAGTCCTGCGGCATCCCTCTGCAAACGAGCGGAGCTGTGAGACGAGGAGGGAAAGCCCTAGCCTTGGTGTGCGGGTAGGGAAACCGAGGCCGGAAGGGATGGACTTGCTCAGCAGGCTTGGCCCTTCGCGAGGCTGCCGAGAGCCAGCGTCCCGGCTGGAGGGAGCTAGAAGCGGCTGCCGCCCTCGGAACAGGAAAGCGAGTGTCCAGCATCCACTGACGGCCTCTACTTTCTCTTCCTCTCTAGGATGGTGGCAGCGGTGGGATCGGGTAAGTCCTGTGCTTAGAAATGGCATGGAACACGCAAGCCTGGTGTGTGACGTGCTGGTAGCAGGACCCTGGGCCCCCAGCCTGTATCCTAAGCCAGCTGAGACTCAGTAACCCCACTCACAACCAGTCCCAGCCCCCCTTCCTTTGTCCTGAAACAAGGGGTCACCCGGTTGCACCCCCCAAACCCCCAGCTCAGATTGCCATTGTGAACATGCCAGGCTGAGGCAGCCTCCCCTCAGCAGGGACCACCCCCGGAATTCCCTTCCCCGTCTCAGGATTGGTGCAGCACCCGGGGAAACTGAGGCACGCACATGGGGTGACCACAGGGACGATAACCCGGGATGGCCCCAAGCTGCAGAGCTCAGATCCTGCGTGCGCCCATGTTTTCTGGGCCCCTTTTCTGACCCGGTGGGTGGGCAGCCGGTGGCCCGCGGACCTCCCCCCCCGTCCCCCTAATCCATGCGCCTCTTGTGCACTGCCTACTCCTCCCCTGAGTGCCGTGAATTGGGGAGGGG